GCTCAGCACGTACACCATTGTTCCCGCCAACAGCACCCCACAATAATCCGTTACCACTCGCGACATTCGCCTCGACCCCATTCCCGCCACTGTTCACGATGCGACCCAACCTCACGGTTCGGTTGGTAACCCGCGCTCTGAACCTCCGCCTCGAAATTCCCCAAACCTCGGCACCAGGCCCGTCGCGCACCCCATTTTTCCACACGTTACCGTTACCACTGTAGCTTCGTTATATATTCTTCGCTCAATCCTTCGCTCATTGTATCTTGTCTCAACAGTGCAATCCTTGCTCGCTCACTCAATTGCACTCGTAACAGCAGTTTATCTTAACATGTTTTTCAAAAAAAAAAAAAAAAACTGTACTGTGTTCTTGTTACACGCTCTGCAGCTTTGAAATTGAGGGGAAACACTACATGTAACTTGCGACTGGCGAACTCTCGCGGAGTCACTGTAACGAAACATGCGAAAAGTAGGGGGCTCTCAAAATGCGTTTATGATGACGTGTTCGGCTTAGTTTCATTTGGAGACCGTGTCAAATACGTATTGAGTAATTTTGTGGGGTAATACTGGGAACGGGAATGCGAGATGATTGGGCGAATCTCGCCAAAGTTTCATTTCAAGCGACCCAAGAAACTGAAACAGCGCCTGGAAATGCGGCTGTGCCAGATTCTCTCACTCCATTCTCAGCTGGTCTGCGCACTTCCGACCGAACTAATTGAAGGCTGATTGCTCCTCTGCGAATAAGTGGACTGTTAGCTGCTAGCCTTAGCGCGCTTGGCTTCCTGCTAACGGCGTAACCATTCGAAATACCCCGGCACAGCCTACTCTACATATTATTGATCATTACAACATAGCGGTCACGCCTAGGCTGTACTGTAGTTGTGTGTGCGATATTATACTGTACATTTTTCCAATTTGTGCATTCTGTGGTCATGCATGGGGTGCGTACAGCTTATCATAAGTGGATTCAAATACCAATTTTCTTGTAGGAGTTGCGTAAGAACGCAGAATGGCGGGCCATGCTACGTCATCCATCCTGCAGTTCGCCACGTGGTAGAGCTCCGTTGACGTGTCGTTCTGGGAGAAAACTCGCGTCGCTGAAAGTCGACTTGCAAGGACTGAAAGAAGAAGACGTGGCAATCCATGGTAGGCTGCGTGTCTCTGGCTGAAGATTCGATTCGAGTCGCAAGATAACGACAAATTATACTGAATTATGATATCTCATTGGTGGTATTAACGGCTGCTCCGACACAAAAGGAGAGGAGGAATTTATAGCTGATCTCGGACCAAGGAAGTCTGGTTCACTCTATCTGTTATGTATTATCTGCGGCATAAGCCTCCGTCCTTTACGTATTCTTCTACGGTCCCCTTCTTTCTTCTTCAACCTGTGTATTCTTCTCCCTATATTCTTCCTCCCTCCCTCACAGGTTTCTTCACTCCATCCTCACACTTTCAACTCCCCTCCTTCTTCTCCCTCTCCTCCGCCTCCTTCCCCCCTTCCCCTGCCCCGCCTCCTCGCTTCCACCTTATCCAACCGGATGATACCACGAATACTTCTGACGCCACCGCCACGAATACCAGGTAGTGTTCTGGCCCTTCTCCTTACTGCCCGTCGGAGTGTCAGCTTTCTTCGTCGAAGAATCGCGGTAAGAAAAAGAAAGCTGACGCTCCAATGGGCGGCAAGGAGAAGGGCCAGAAAACTACCTCCTCGAAGAAGGCCTGGGTTCCAAAAAACGGAGGTGGCGGCTCCGCAATAGGGCCGCCGAACAAGAAGTAACGGCGCACGACCTCGCGCTCCGCTGGTTCGGCCGCTTGACTGCTCGACAAGTGATGTCACGCGTGCGGAACAACGGGGTGCATAACCTGAGTGCTAAAACTCTTACCACCGATGAGCAGAGAGCTCTCAGGATGGGTTTGAAGTTTGTGCCTACACCTACCAGGAATCCGTCAGTCGAAGCAGATCTCGATCAACTGCATCGGCTGACTTCTCTTCATTTTTTCTTCAAGGAGAAGGGTGACCCGACGGAACCTGTACGCTTTCGTGTGCGGAATCCCAGTTGGAAACCTGATCGGGATGTGGTCCCATTCGGACCTCTCTTTCTTGATGAAAGCGACAACGCCACGGCGCGGTTTCAACCTCTCGTTGGGTGTGCGCAAGGCGTTACGCTCCCTCGCCTCTGACCACCGCATCGTGATTAAGCCAGCTGATAAAAGCGTGGGTGTGATGGTGTTAGATCAGCAGCACTACTTCAACCTCTGTATGGAACATCTCGGGGATGAAGCAGTGTAGCAGCCGATCCTGCATGATCCAATGCCACAGGTCGTGAAGCAGCTGCGGATTTTACAGACGACGTGGGGACCGGCTTTCCCTGACAGCCTTGGGAAGTATTTTTTCAAGGAACCACCTGGAGGGTGGCAACCAACTGCTTTCTACGCACTGCCGAAGCTTCACAAGAAAGTTCCCGTAGGGCGACCGATCGCTGCCTCACATTCATGGGTGACAACTCCTGTGAGCAAATGGCTGGACGCAGAACTTCGCCCGCTGGTGCTCAACCGCCCAACCTACCTCCGGGATTCCCTCTCGCTGCTGACAACGCTGGAACGGACTGCCTTTCCTACGACAGTTCTGCTCGCGACGTATGATGGCGCCGCGCTCTACCCTAGCATCTCGATTGAGTGTGGCCTTGATGCGGTCAACAATTGTCTGATGAGGGAACAACCAAAGCTCGCCCCACCTCTCATGGCCATGCTGGGCTGGGTCATGAGGAATTCGTTCGTGGAATTCAACGGCCGGACCTATCATCAAGTACGGGGAACAGTGTGAAAATCTAGCGTGACTTAGGAGCCATGGCTTGTGAGTGTCGATGTAAGCATTGAATGTCGAGAGAGTTGAGTATCGAGAATGAGGGATTTCACTATAGAAAGTTGGGATACAAATAGCAAACCCTAAATTGGGTTGTACTCACTACAGAGTACCCCATTGCAGGCTAAACAGCAAATACATTCTGACACACCCCCATAGTCAAAGTGGGGTATAATCAGCAGAGCAAGCAGTCATAGAGCAGGTTCACAAGTACAAGCAAAGCTAGAGGCATACACAAAGGGCAAGTGAGGAGGAGGAGGCTGGACTGTAAGAGGAGAGGAGATAGGAGGCAACGGCTGATGCTGCAGACACACGGGCAACAGAAGTGGCGCGCACGGTGGCTACCAGAGCACATTTCCCTGGACTAGAGGAGTAACTGGCTCTGCGGCTAACTCTGAGCGGCAGGAGCAACAGACCCACGGGCGACAGGCGCAGCAGGCTCTCTGAGCTACCAAAAGCAGGGCACCGGACTACAGGTGCTGCGGACGACAAGACGGCAGCCTCCGCTCAACCTCCCCCAACTGTCCCACCCCCTTTTTACACACCCCTTGCTGCACCCCTAGCTCCACTCCCACGTCACCCCCCTAGCACCACTCCCTCGGCTCCCACACACCCACCCCCCTCAGCGGCAGCTGCAGCAGTGGGAGACGAAGGAGGAGGAGGAGGAGTGGACGGTACACACACCCGCCACCTCCATACCCGCCACCCCGCAGTTGCACCCACACCCGCCACCCCCATACCCTCCCCCACTGCTACACCTGCAGCAGGGGATGGAGGAGAAAGGGGGGGGGGGCGGTGCAGGAGCCGCTCGGACGACAGCAGGACGCGCCACACCCGCCACCCCCATACCCTCCCCCCCACTGCTGCACCCGATTAGAGAGATGGAGTAGAAGGAGGGGGGGGGGGGGGGGGGGGGGTCGGTGCTGCAGATCCCCTCCTGCCTCCCCCTGAACCTCCAAGCTCCCCCCCCTCTCCCAACACAAGGTGCGGCAGGGAGAGAGAGAGGAGGCGTGGCGGCAGCTGCTGCTGAGGCACATCCGCCACCCCCTCACACCCTCTCCCCGCCGTCCCCATGGAGGGGGGGGACGGGGGGGAGGGGGGCGGGGGCGGAGCTGCGCGTGCGACTGTAGGGCACGCGGGCTGGAAGAACCCCCTCTTTCCACCCCCTCACCCACCATATTGCAACAGGGCACCGGGGCTGCGGTTAGGGGCGGCAGGTCGCGAGGGGCCATGGCTAGGGGCGACTGGGCCATGGCTAGGGACGGGGCCGGGCGCTGGGCAGGTACGGGGCCGCGCGCGGGCTAGGTACGGGGCCGGGCGCTGGGCTAGGTACGGGCCGGGCGCGGGCTAGGTACAGGGGCGGGCGCTGGGCTAGGTACTGGGCCGGGCGCTGGGCAGGTACAGGACCAGGCGCTGGGCAGGAACGGGGCCAGGCGCTGGGTAGGTACGGGGCCGGGCACTGGGCAGGGACGGGGCCGGGCGCTGGGCAGGTACGGGGCCGGGCGCTGGGCAGGTACGGGGCCGGGCGCTGGGCAGGGACGGGGCCGGGCGCTAGGCAGGTACGGGGCCAGGCACTGGGCAGGTACGGGGCCGGGCGCTGGGCAGGTACGTGGCCGGGCGCTGGGCAGGTACGGGGCCGGGCGCTGGGCAGGTACAGGGCCGGGCGCTGGGCAGGTACGGGGCCAGGCGCTGGGCTAGGGACGGGGCCTGGCGCTGGGCAGGTACGGGGCCGGGCGCTGGGCAAGTACGGGGCCAGGCGCTGGGCAGGTACGGGGCCGGGCGCTGGGCAGGTACGGGGCCGGGCGCTGGGCAGGTACAGGGCCGGGCGCTGGGCAGTTACGGGGCCGGGCGCTGGGCAGGTACAGGGCCGGGCGCTGGGCAGGTACGGGGCCAGGCGCTGGGCAGGTACGGGGCCGGGCGCTGGGCAGGTACAGGGGCCAGGCGCTGGGCAGGTACGGGGCCGGGCGCTGGGCAGGTACGTGGCCGGGCGCTGGGCAGGTACGGGGCCGGGCGCTGGGCAGGTACAGGGCCGGGCGCTGGGCAGGTACGGGGCCGGGCGCTGGGCAGGTACGAGGCCGGGCGTGGGCTAGGTACGGGGCCGGGCGCTGGGCTAGGGACGGGGCCTGGCGCTGGGCAGGTACGGGGCTGGGCGCTGGGCAGGTACGGGGCCGGGCGCTGGGCAGGTACGGGGCCGGGCGCTGGGCAGGTACGGGGCCGGGCGCTGGGCAGGTACGGGGCCGAGCGCTGGGCAGTTACGGGGCCGGGCGCTGGGCAGGTAGAGGGCCGGGCGCTGGGCAGGTACGGGGCCGGGCGCTGGGCAGGTACGGGGCCGGGCGCTGGGCAGGTACAGGGGCCAGGCGCTGGGCAGGTACGGAGCCGGGCGCTGGGCAGGTACTGGGCCAGTCGTTGGGCGCAGAACGGAGGCCGGGCGCGAGGCTAGGTACGGGGCCGGGCGCTGGGCAAGGGACGGGGCCGGGCGACGGGCTAGGTACGGGCCGGTCGCGGGCTAAGTACGGGCCGGGCGCGGGCTAGGTACGGAGCCAGGCGCGGGCGAGGTACGGGCCAGGCGTTGGGCGCAAAACTGAGGCCGGGCGCGAGGCTAGGTACGGGCCAATCGCGGGCTAGGTACGGGGCCAGGCGCGGGGCTAGGAACGGGGCCGAGCGCGGGCTAGGTACGGGCCGATCGCGGGCTAAGTACGGGCCGGGCGCGGGGCGACTGAGTCGACGGGGCCAGCGGGGCCGAGGGGCACAGCTAGGGGCGACGCCAAGAGGCCGAGCCTAGGGGCTAGGGGCGACGCCTAGGGGCGACGGGCCGGAGCCTAGGCTAGAAGTGCATTAGGTGGTGGGCCCATTGACATTAGGTCCTAGGAAAGTTATGCTCTTAATACCATGTGAAAATCTAGTGTGACTTAGGAGCCATGGCTAGTGAGTGTCGAGGTAAGCATTGAATGTCGAGAGAGTTGAGTATCGAGAATGAGGGATTTCACTATAAAAGGTTGGGATACAAATAGCAAACCCTAAATTGGGTTGTACTCACTACAGAGTACCCCACTGCAAGCTAAACAACAAATACATTCTGACAAACAGCCATGGGGACACCTGTAGCCGTTTGCTTCGCGGTCCTGCTCATGAGCCGTCTAGACGAGCTTTTGAAGGAGAAGTGGACCGGGAAATCTCCTCTTTACCATGCGCGCTACATCGACGACGGGCTAATCATTTGGCCAAGGACGCGGGTAGAACTGGAAACCTACCTGCAAACCTTCAACGCGCTTGATCATGACATTAGGATCACATGGTCTATCTGTTAGAGACTAAGGGCGGAGTCTATGAAGATTAAGGGCCGAAATATCTAAAAATCGTCAACTATAATTCTGGACAGAAACGTCGTCGACAAAAAAAGCTCTGTGAAAAATCTCTCAAACTCGAGTATGTTGTAGCCGTTGACCGTGGCTATCTTCCCAATTTGAATAGTATCAAAATATGGATTATAGCTTGAGTTATGAATTTCGGCGCACTAGGGGGTATGCTGCCATAGAAACTTAACTCAATCACAAAGTTGTCTCACAAGTTCACACAAGAAAGTTGGAGTAGCAATTGAACCAGGTAGGAGGGGATGAGGAGGACGAGAGGGAAGGTCCCAAGGGAGTCCCTAACCAAGGAAACCCCATACCACACAATTCCCCTCTCTATAGGCACCCCAACTTTGACATTTGTCACTTTCCCAACTCATGCCATCCACCTCACCCAACTTGGCCACACTTGCCAATCTGGTTTGGCTTCTCCCAACCACTTGGCATCATCTAGAGTGATGGTGACGAATTTCCCAGCCCCCAAAAGATTGTACCCCATATTGAGTCAACCCGCAAATTCCCATAGTCGCCGCATCTCAATCAAAACTTCGAACGATCATAACTTTCTCGTTCTTTCTCCGATCGCGGCGATTCTCGGTTCGTCGGAAAGCTCTCAAGCAGAGGAGTCACTTCAGATATCTGCTCAAGGAAAATAACACTCACACACACTCAGAAAATCCAAACAACACCAAACACAAATTCTTGCACACGCTCACACCACGCATGCAACACACGAACATATGATGGGAGGCAGACAGACATGAATGCAAATGATAGCATCAGATAACACTATCTCGGATCGCTCCATAGATTTTCTTGATGCTGTTCTTTTCAAGGGGCCGCGTTTTAAGGAGCGGGGTACTTTGGACTTCGGCACGTACCAGAAGCCGATGAACACGTATCTCTACTTGCCTTTCGCTTCCTTTCACCCACGACACTGCAAGGAGTCTTTCATTCGCGCAGAGCTTAGACGTTACCTTCTTCGCTCAACTTCAGCTGCGACTTTCCTCGCAACAAAGCGGTCTTTCTTTCTCCGCCTTCGTGATCGTGGTTACCCACCCGTGTTTCTGCACCCCATCTTCAAAAGTGTCATCTTCGCTCATCGTTCAGAACTTCTCGCCAGCACCATTGTCAACCAAGCGCTCCGCCAACAGACAACTCTCCCATCTCGTGGGCCCCTACTCTTGAAGACCCAGTACACTCCTGTCACTGCGCGTCTCGGGCTGGGGGTCCTTTTGAGTCGACTCAAAAATCGCCTCATCACACGCGGATTGTATGTGGAGAGAATGTTTGTTGCGTGGAAAATTGGTTGTAACCTGCAGCGGTTACTAGTACGCGCGCGACTTCTGAAGTTGCCCCTTGGCGAAAATCTGAACCCAACCCTTCATGCTGACACTTTCGAGGAAGTTGAAGACGTGGCTGCCTGAAGTTTTCGAGGGTGGTCTGGATTGGTCCCCGTCATTTGGGTGACCTGGGTGTGGATAGCCTAGAGTTTGCTTTCTTAGAGGCCTTGCTTCTCTTTAGAGGCATTGCTTAGCCCTTCTTTCTCATTGTTGGCACTGATGAAGGTCTGATCGAGTTTTTCCTCCGTGATAGGCCGAAACATGTTTGTCCCTGTTTTACTCTACTGCTAAGAATTTGGGTTCTGAGATCGTTTTGAGCACTTGGCTGTACACAGAGCGGAAATCTACTGCTGTTTTTTGTCAAACTTATATGCTATAGTCTATCTAGGCTGTAGTGGGGTAGTTCATATAGGGTACAACACTTTTAGGTTTCCTACTTGTATCGACCTGCTTCCTAGTTCATTCATTCCGTTCCTGATTCTAACATGGTATTCTGAGCAGGTTCCCTCGTGGGAACGTTTTTTTAGGGCCCACCACGAACTTTTTTTTTTCCTGCCCTACCCGAAGCGCATTTTGCGCCTGCCTCACCTTGCCGTCGCGGCCCCTACTGCCGTCGCGGCCCCTGCTGCCGTCGCGGCCCCTGCTGCCGTCGCGGCCCCTGCTGCCGACGCGGCCCCTGCTGCCGTCGCGGCCCCTGCTGCCGACGCGGCCACTGCTGCCGTCGCGGCCCCTACTGCCGACACGGCCCCTACTACCGTTGCGGCCCCTGCTGCCGTCGCGGCCCCTGCTACCGTCGCAGCCCCTACTGCCGTCGCGGCCCCTACTGCCGTTGCGGCCCCTGCTGCAGTCGCGGCCCCTACTGCCGTCGCGGCCACTGCTGTTGTAGCGGCCCCTGCGGCCGTCGCAGCTCCTGCTGCCGTCGCGGCCCCTGCTGCCGCCGCGGCCCCTGCTGTCGTCGCGGCCCCTGCTGCCGCCGCGGCCCCTGCTGTCGTCACGGCCCCTGCTGCTGTCGCGGCCCCTGCCGTCGCGGCCCCTGCCGTTGCAGCCCCTGCTATCGCAGCCCCTGTCGTCGCAGCCCCTTTGCTGTCGCGGCCCCAGCATGTCACGGCCCCGCCCTGCACCCGCCCCTGGTAAGCACCCGCGCCGCCCTACTGCGCCGCGCCGCCAAGAGCTGAGCCACACCGCCTAGCCGAGCCGCGCCGCCCAGCCGAGCCGCGCCGCCCAGCCGAGACGCGCCGCCCACCGAGCCGCGCCGCCCTACCGAGCCGCGCCGCCCTACCTAGCCGCGCCGCCCTACTGCGCCGCACTGCCCTGCCTGCACTGCTCCTGCTGCTACTGCTGCTACTACTACTATGGCTAGCCCTACTGTTCTCACCTTTGATGCTGAGGGGCGTGCAGTTGACTTTGACGTGTGGGTTGACGACCTGCAACTCTTTCTTCAGTGTGACTCTAGGGATGGGGTATCCCTTTTCGATCACACGTCAGGTATCTCCACTGCTCCTGCTGCCACTGCTGACAGTACTGTTCGCTCGCAGTGGACCACTTGTGACGCTGTTGCTCGCCTTGCTGTTCGTAGTCACCTACAACCTGCTAAGCGTGCGCATTTTTGCCAGTACAAGACTGCTCAGTCTTTGTACAACGCTGTAGTTGCGCGCTACTCCTCCCCTGCCACTGCTGCCCTCAGCCGCCTCATGCTGCCGTACCTTTTCCCTGACCTTGCTGCCTTTGCCACAGTCGCTGACCTCATTACTCACCTCCGCACTAGTGATGCCAGCTACCGCGCTGCCCTTCCCACTGAGTTTTGTGCCAAGAACCCCCCCCCCATGTACATCACCCTTTACTACCTGGTCACCCGCCTCCCTGACTCCCTTGCTTCAGTCAGGGACCACTTTCTCTCACTTTGCCCCACCGAGCTCACCGTCGACCTGCTAGAGGAGCGCCTCGCTGCAGCTGAGAAGAGTATCTTAGCTGTAGGTGCTTCTCGCGGCGACCGTCGCACCCCTTTCTTTGAGGGGTGTTCCCCTGTCCCCCTTCTCCCCTCTGTTGCTTCTGCTGCTGCTGTCGACCTCGTTGGCACTGAGGAGGTCGGGGCTGCGTCTGCTCCCAGTGGGAGGCGCCGCAACAGCAAGGGCAAGGGGAGCAAGGGTGGTGGAGGGGATGGCGGGGGCGGCGGCAGAGGCGGTGGAGGAGGCAGAGGGGGTGGCGGTGGAGGTGGGGGTGGTGCCGGGAGTGGGGGCTTCAGTGGCGGCGGTGGAGGTGGTGGAGGCAGCGGCGGAGGTGGTGGAGGCAGCGGCAGCGGTGGTGGAGGCAGCGGCAGCGGTGGCGGAGGTGGCGGTGGCGGTGGTGCTTGTCGAGGTGCAGCCGCGCAGCGTGGAGGCTTTGGTGGTAGCCAGCGCCAGCAGCAGCCGCGTTCCCGTGAGACCGCGTCGGCCCAGCAGCTTCGTGAGTGGTACGCTGGGCGTGGGAGGTCTGGGGGTGCTGGTCCCAGCACTTACGTTCTTCGCACCGGCAGTCGTCGTGGGGAGACGTGCGGGCTGCCACACACTGCGCAGCGCTGCTTCGGTCGCCTGACTGACGCCTGGCGCGCCCAGTTTCCTGACGCTGTTGAGCTCCATCGCTGGGGTGATCTGCTTAGGCAGAATGTGGCTATCTTTGATCTTGATTTCGATGCTATCCTTGCTGCCATGCATGCTTTGACTGATAGTGCTGAGGGTGACTGTTACCTGAGTGTCCCGCCCGACCCGGGCATTGAGGCTGCTGCTCTAGGTGCTAGTGCGTCTGCTGCTCTAGGTACTGGTGAGTCTGCTGCTCCAGGTGCTGGTGAGTCTGCTCTCTCTGG